TGGGAAACCAAGGCCAGTAGAGGAGACAGGATGGCATCTGGCACTATCATCAGGCTGATGATGATTTAGAGTCACAGCAGAGGAGGGGGTCAGAGCCAAAAGTATTCATGATAGATTCTGTGAGACTTTGCACATAAGCAGTCCTATTTGAGGCCTAGGTGACAAAGTGTGATACTGTGTTGGACAGAAGGGGAGGTCTTCTGGGCTCAGCAAAGCAGGAGAAAAGACTCCATGCTCTATTATATTCTGTCCCTTCTATTTCAGCTCTAATTATCTTATATTGAAATGGCAGGTCTGTGTCCCCACTAGCTAGAAGGTCTTTGGTGCTGAGACATAATTTCTCCTCTGTATTCCAAGGGCCTAGCACAGTGTTTGGCATGTGGTAAGTACTTAATCATTGATTAATTCAACATTTATTAAGTTTAATTTTCATTTATATAAACAGAACCCAACAAGAACCACATAGAGGAATGATGCGACCTACATCATATAATGTTTAAGACAAAAAATGTATTCAAACCATAGCCAGTAGTATTAAAGTATAATTTTATGATTTATAACACTGATCTATCATTTTTAGTAATAACTAAATATAGATAAATGTGTATATGTTTGCTATAAAAATGAAAAAGTTCCATCTGGAAACTCTAAAATTAGGTATATTACATTTTGAACCTCATGAGAGTTTTTGATAGTTGGCTGTAAATATTAGATGAAATATTAGAATAATTAAATTATTAGATGGAAGTTATGCTTGTCTTCAATCTCAGTTGCTAGATAATAAATCTAAGCCTTCTGAGGTGCCTGGGTGGCTCAGTTGGTTAAACGGCTGCCTTCAGCTCAGATCATGGGTCTTCAGGGTCCTGGGATTGAGCCCCACATCGGGCTCCCTGCTCAGTGGGAAGTCTGCTTCTCCCTCTCACTCTGCTGCTCTCTCGCTTGCAGTCTCTCTCTCTCTCTCAAATAAGTGAATAAAATCTTAGAACACACACACACACAAATATAAGTCTTCCTTATGCTGCAACTTAGAAAGCCCAACTTTCAGATCATAATTTCTTATTTTTCCAACTTTCCCACTCCATGGTCATACAAAATCTGGTTTTTAACCTCATTAAGATTTATAAACTTTGGAACAATTTCCAGTTTCCTAGGACATCCATTCTCTGGCCAACTTCCTTTTTTTTTTTTTTTAAAGATTTTATTTATTTGACAGAGAGAGAGAGAGTGAGCACACAAGCAGGGGGAGCAGGAGAGGGAGAAGCAAGCTCCCCACTGAGCAGCAAGCCAGATGCAGGACTCCATCCCAGGACCCTGGGACCAGGACCCGAGACAAAGGCAGATGCTTAACTCACTGAGCCACCCAGGCGCCCTACCAACTTCCTTCCTTAAACAGGTTAGTATAAAAACTATGTAGCAAACAAACAAACAAAGGAATAAAAAAACCAAAAACACACACACATAAAACTATAGCAACACAGGAAAATATGAATAGTATATTTTTTTAAGAAGGCTACCAAATTTTATGTATGTATAGTATTCATGATTGTAGCTACATAAAATTAAAAAAAAGTTATGTGAGGATATACTGCCAACCATTACTCTTGGATATTTTTTGCACAGGGTCATTTTAATTGAGTCTCATTTTCTGTGCTCTAATTTTTTGCAATGATCAAGTAATAGCAGAAGAAATACATCAAAGCTTGCATACAAAAAAGCTCTGGAAGGGAACACATACACACATTCTCACACCTGCACATTGGTGACATTTGTATTAGTGAGGCAGAATTACAGGTCATTTTTCTTTTCTCCAATCTTTCTTTAGAATGTTTTAGATGTGTATTTTTGATGCTGTAAATTTTTTTAAAGATTTATTTGAGAGAGAGAGGTGGGGGGAGGGATAGAGGGAGAGGGAGAGCGAGAATCTTAAGCAGACTTCCCATTGACTGAGGAGCCCCACAAAGGGGCTCGATTTCATGACCCTGAGATCATGACCTGAGCTGAAATAGAGTCAGATGCTTAATGGACTGAGCCACCAAGGCACCCCTTGATGCTGTAATTTTAAAATAAAAAATTTTAGCAAAAATTAAGGACTTCAAACGTTATTAAAGAATTTGTTAGGGGCGCCTGCGTGGCTCGGTCATTAAGCGACTGCCTTCGGCTCAGGTCATGATCCCAGGGTCCTGGGATCGAGCCCCACATCGGGCTCCCTGCTCAGCGGGAAACCTGCTTTTCCCTCTCCCACTCCCCCTGCTTGTGTTCCTGCTCTCGCTGTCTCTCTCTGTCAAATAAATAAATAAAATAAAATAAAAAAGAATTTGTAAGCTTGCTTTTATGATATTAAATCCATGATTTTGGTATTTGTCTTACTATAATCACTATTATGCCTCTCTGCAGGCATAGTTACCTACCTTTTTGAGGCCAGAGAGTTGAATCTTCTGCCTTCATATATATATATATTAGATACTATATATATATATATATTAGATACTATATATATATATATTAGATACTATATATATATATATAGTACCTAATGCCCATTGTCACTCATATTAATACTGGAGTGATTCAATGTATAAGAATTTATATTTCCCCTTAGATATTTACTGAGCATGGGGCACCTGGGTGGCTCAGTCGGTTAAGCGTTCAACTCTTGGTTTTGGCTCAGGTCCTGATCTCAGGGTCATGGGGCTGAGCCCTGTGTGGAGTTCCACTCTTAGTGTCGGAGTCTTCTTGAGATTCTCTGCTCCCTGCTGCACCCCGCCCAGCTCATACACTCTTTCTCTCAAATAGACAAATAAAATCTTTAAAAAAAATGATATTTACTGAGCATCTACAATACTCAGAGCACTGTGCTAGACCTTAGAGGGAACAAATGATGAATAAGACACAGTCAGTGCCCTTAATAAAACATGTTAAAGGTCTTATTTTTACTTTTCCCACAGAGATGGTGAATTAAGAACTGTTGGGGAAAAAAAATGAGAGTCTTAAAAGATATAGAGCCTATGAACGCTAAACACTCTATATGTTAGCATTTTTCTTAGTGAGATTATGGCTGCTAGTTACCTAACAAATATTCTTCTATTGCTTTATGTCTTAGATCACATTTGGAAATGCAATATGGCAGGGGGGGAAGATCCAAATTAAGAGTTTGGAGGTCTAGTTTCAAGTCTCAATTCAACAACAAACTAGCTGCATGAACATGGACAAAGTACTTAAGTTTTCTGTATTTTTTTTTTTTAAGGTTTTATTTATTTGTTTGACAGAGAGAGACACAGCAAGAGAGGGAACACAAGCAAGGGGGAGTGAGAGAGGGAGAAGCAGGCTTCTCACTGAGCAGGGAGCCTGATGCAGGGCTCGATCCCAGGACCCTGGGATCATGACCTGAGCCGAAGGCAGACGCTTAACGACTGAGCCACCCAGGCGCCCCAAGTTGTCTGTATTTCTATAAGGTTCCTTCCAACCTTAAAATTTAACTATCCTCTGTTGAGACATATCAGAAATATCATATGACTTTGATGATGGCTTTATTACCAGTTCTGAAAAATGCTAATTCTAAATCTGTGCAAGTAATTATTAGAGCTCATGTTTGTGAAACATCGGGTATTACTACTGTTACAGAAACCAAGTTAGTATGCTGTGTCATCCTTCCAGGCCGTGTGATACATGCATAATTAGCACATATAATACTATAGGGCTCAAACAATATAAACATAGAGATTACAGAGAGAGAGCCATTTGAAAAATGAGTGTTTTATGATAGCTTTTTGGAGTTTTCATGTACTAAGATTTCATTTCTCTGTGTGTTCACAAGCCTTATGTTTCAGTTCCTTAAATGAAAAATAGGTGAGTGGGCAGGTTTCTCAGAGCTACAGTCCTTCCTTTAGGGACTGTCCCTTGCCCCTAAAGTTTGCTTTAGAAATGGTGGTACATGGACCCATGTTGGATAGGAGGGACTATAGGCAACATTGGTGATGGTGGGCTCTGGGTCTGCTGCCATACACCAAGCTATTTATGATTTTTTTTTTAATTTATTTATTAGAGAGAGAGAGTGAGAGAGCGAGCGCAAGAGGGGGTAGGGTTAGAGGGAGAAGCAGACTCCCCGCTGAGCAGGGAGCCCGATGTGGGACTCGATCCCGGGACTCCGGGATCATGACCTGAGCCAAAGGCAGTCGCTTAACCAACTGAGCCACCCAGGCACCCTATTTATGATTTTTTTTTTAGATTTTATTTATTTTTTTGACAGAGAGAGATATAGCGAGAGCAGGAACACAAGCAGGGGGAGCGGGACAGGGAGAAGCAGGCTTCCCGCAGAGCAGGGAGCCCGATGCGGGGCTCGATCCCAGGGCCTGAGCCGAAGGCAGATGCTTAACGACTGAGCCACCCAGGCGCCCTTATGATTTTTTTTTAAAGTTAATCTACATATTTCCATTTTCCTGTCAGCAATTCCTGCGGTATCAGCACTTTTCCAGATTAGAAATTTGGGATTTTCCTTTGCCTCCTGGTTCTCCTTAATTCCCTGTAACCAGTTGGTCACCAAGGCCTATAATTTCTCTTTGTAATGTCTCTTAATTGTTTTCCTTCCTCTTCATTTTTCCTTCATTTCCACATTCAATACCCTGGTCTGTTTCAGGCTCATGCTTGAAATAACCTCTTCATGGAGGCTTTTCTGCTACCAGTCTCATTTCCTTCATCATAGCACTACCTGGTTTAAGAACTTACAATTTTCAGGGCACTGGCTGGCTCAGTTGGTGGAGCATGTGACTCTTGATCTTGGGGTTGTGAGTTCAAGGCCCATGCTGGGTGTAGAGTTTACTTAAAAAAGAAAAAAAAAAAAGAACTTGGCAATTTTCTCCACTGTCTACAAGATAAAACTAAACCACTCCTTCCAACATTTCTAATCCTCCCATTACCAAATTTTACCCTTATTTCTCTGTTTCTCAATATATATTCATGTTAGTTAGTGTTATGCTAGCTGCTATAACAAAGAGACCCAAATGGCTCAGAAAAGACAGAAATTCATTTCTTAATTTAGTGTCTGAGTTCCAGGCTGCTCCATGCAGTCACACGGTTTCCTTCCATCTTGTTTCTCAAACATAACCTCCAAGACATTGTCCTCAATTATAGGGTTGACTATGGATCACAGGACATCTTCCTTTTAGCCCCTGAAAAGGCAAAAAAGCAGGCTCACTATCTGAAAGTCTCTGCCTAGGAAAGGGTGAGCACATATCATCTCTACTCAAGGGAAGTTGGGAGATAAAGCACAGCTGAGCAATCATATACCAAGCTACAGTTAACACAGAAAAAGAGAAGTCAGCTAGCACTTTGTGCCACATGCCCTCTGCTTCCATTGTCCTGGTCTCTCCAACACTCAGTTTTTCTCTTTCTTTCCTTCTCTTCTCTCAAATAACATCTGCCCTGTTTAAGTATTATCTCCTGCTATGAGTACTGCAGCCATATAAAAGAATGGTTCAGTAAGCTGAAAAAAGTAGAAATGGTTCTAGGGCTCTTCAAAACTGATTTGTATGTCCTAATCCTTGCCCTTTAGGAGGTGTTTTCCCCCGACTTTGTCTTTTACAACTTCTTAAATTCATGGAAGTGGATTTCAGAGATCTTAAATAATGCTCACTGAGTAGTAAGTAAACAGGGGAGCAGTGGGGACAGGGGTGGGGTGGGGGTTGCCAATAGCACAAGTAAAATCCACTCCTAATGCCTGAGCCCAACTACTGCAACTATCTGTCCTGACTTGAGAGTACTCTAACTTGGACTACAGTGGTCTTTTTTTTTTTTTTTTAAGATTTTATTTTTAAGTAATCTCTATACCCAACATGAAGCTCAAACTCAAAACCCTAAGATCAAGAGTCACATGCTCCACCGACTGTCCCAGCCAGGTGCCCCGAGTGTAGTCTTCTTGCCTAAATTGATGTAAAATATCTACATAAACTGTGCAACGGAGGGAAGGTAACACAGATGAAAGGGGTATCAAAGAGAAGCAATTTGGCAATGTTGATCCAGAATTATTTGAGGGAGAGACATTGAATCTGATGAACAGGATCATTGTGGTTATTACTATTATCATTTTTTAAAGATTTTATTTATTTGTCAGAGAGAGAGCCTGCGAGTGTGCACAAGCAGTGAGAGCGGCAGGCAGAGGGAGAAGCAGGCTCCCCGCTGAGCAAGGAGCCCGATGCGGGGCTCGATCCCAGGACCCTGGGATCATGACCTGAGCCAAAGGCAGACATTTAACCCACTGAGCCACCCAGGCGCCCCTCATTGTGGTTATTAGAGAAGTGTAAAAATAATTGCTTCTCTACGCTGAAGTATTTAGGGAGAAGTGTTCCAGTGTTGGCAATCGATTTGGAAATACGTTAAGAAAATAAGATAGATGAGTAGTGGATAGAGGGATAGAAAAATTACTAGACAGGTGATAAGGCAAGTGTAGTGAAATATTAATGGTAAAATCTAGTTGGTGAGCATATAGATGGTCCTTGCAAAATTCTTTCAACTTTGCTGCATGTTGAAAATGTTTATAATAAAAGAGGGAAAAAATCTAACATTTTTAAAACACTTTTCCTGTGTCAGACCCCTTACACTGACGATGGCATTTCGTCCTCGGGACAAGTCTGTGAGACGGATAAGTGCAGAGAGGTTAAGTGACTTGTCCGATATCCCATGTTTAAAACGCTGCCACGCTAAGATTTAAATCCAGGTCTGTGTTATTTGCAAAGCCAAACACCTTAGTTATGGTACAGGGATAAGTCAACAGACTTTTTTCATAGCCTCCATAAAATATTATTCAAGATTCTCTCACTCACTTTGCCTGACTCCTTATCCATAAAGCAGTCTTCCTACTTCTTCCCAAACAACTTGCACCTGGGAGGAGAGTGCCCGGGGCACTAATGGATGAACTACATCTCTGCTCACAAGAAAAGCCTCTGATCAAACTCCAGAGCTGTGTGTGATTCTCCAATGGTTGTGGAAAACAGATGTCATCTAGGTGGGGTATTGGGTTTTCATATTAATCATTAAATCAAGAAGCTCCTCTCAGTTGTGATGTTTACTTGGAAGGGTAGGATGCCATTTCCTTTTGGCTCTGTTGTCCGTTTGAACTCCTTGGTAGGCTGCCATTAACCTGGGACTCCCCTGTCTCCTCCAAATACTTTCCCTAACCTCACCTACCACTATCTATTGCTTTTCTGGCCCTCCCCTATTATCACTTGACTTCTAAGATTTACTTCTGTGTTACATAGTTATTACAGTGGCAAGAATATACTCAACAGCATTATTACAATTTTCAACTACTAATGGAATTTTTACTTCTGTTGGTGTCATAAACTGATAGCAGTAAAATGTATTGCCAAAAATACTACCACAATGTGTATGGCCTTAAAACATAAATGTACCAAATGAACATCTCTAAATATAACGGTTTTTATGGGGCAAATCTGTCCCCTGCTGTGTCTTGGCTTCTGCAGTAGAGCACAGTAAGTTGACTATCATGGCTCTAGTGAAGAGCAAAGCTCATCTTAGTGAGTTTTGAGGGACAGAACTCTTAGGATAGTCAATAAAAAAACATGGATTCCAGAGCCCTTCCCCTACGTACTGAATCAGAATTTTTGAGAATGGGGCCAAGGAATATGCATTCCACATAAGCTCCCCAAGTGATTCTTATGACTACCAAAATTAAAGAACCACTATTTCAAACCCCTTGGGATATTTTGGAAATCTGTGACCAAATTGTTGGTTGTCAAAATGATTTGGGGGCACTGTGGGCATTTACTGTGGGGGGTGGTTAGAGATGCTATATGCCTTCTAGGGAGAATCTGGCACAGCCAAGAGCTGGCCCCCATCCTTATGATTTCCCAGTGTCTCACCTGATACTCACAAGCATGTAGGTGAAAAATCTATTATAAGCCTGGAACACAATTCCATTTTACATATAAGCACAAAATATTTTTCATGTGGTTTTCATATACACTGAATTCCCCCCAGGAATGCAACTACTGTGTAAATCAAAAGATTGTTTAATTAGAAAACTTTTTTTTAAAGATTTTATTTACTTACTTGACAGAGAGACACAGCGGGAGAGGGAACACAAGCAGGGGGAGTGGGAGAGGGAGAAGCAGGCTCCCCACGGAGCAGGGAGCCTGAAGTGGGGCTCGATCCCAGGACCCTGGGATCATGACCCAAGCAGAAGGCAGACGCTTAACGACTGAGCCACCCAGGTGCCCCTAATTAAAAAACTTTTTGAAAGTTGTAAAATCACACCTTTGACAGCTCATCATAACAAAAGAGCATCAGGCTGCATGGGCAGCACTCACATTCACTGTGATGCTAATACGTAGGCACAAACATTTGAAAACCTCATTTCGTCTTTATTTATTTACTTATAAAATATTTTTATTTGTTTATTTGTCAGAGAGAGAGAGCAAAAGCAGGGAGAGCAGCAGGCAGAGGGAGAGAGAAGCACGCTCCCTGCTGAGTAAGGAGCCCGAAGCAGGACTCGATCCCAGAACCCTGGGATCATGACCAGAGCCGAAGGCAGATGCTTAACTGACTGAGCCACCCAGGCATCCCTCTCATTAAGTCTTTTAATGTAGTCAAACCCCAGTGTGTAAAGAAAAACTCAATTTTGGGGGTGCCTGGGTGGCTCAGTCTGTAAAGCGACTGGCTCTTGATTTCGGCTCAGGTCATGATCTCAGCATCGATGAATTGAGCCCCGCATAGGGCTCTGCCCTCAGCATGGAGTCTGCTTGTCCCTCTCTCTCTGCTCCTCCTCCCGCTCGCTCTCTCAAATAAATAAAATCTTTAAAAAGTTATTCACAAGTCTATTCAGATACTTTTAAAAAACTGAGGTATAACATACATAAAGTGTGTCTTTACACACACTTTACTCTCATGCTATCAAACCTACAACTTCTGATACCAGATGTGTGGGATTTTTTTACACACCAAACGATTCTGTGTTACACCAACTAGCTGTCTTACAATTTAACTCAATTCTGACACTATCTACCTGGAGAGAGCATCAGATCCCACAGATTTAAGGGCTCAGTCCCATAAGACTGCCCCCACACTTCAGATGCCAACTACAAGTAGTAGGACCCCAGTTACCTACAACCTCTGTCCGACTTGGCTACGTTATCAGAAGTTCCCATGATCTCCTCCCCTTTGGATTCAACTGTCTGCTGGAACAACTCACAGAACTCAAGGAAACATTTGCTTACATTTACCAGTTTAGTCTATGATAAAGGATATGATAAAGGACACAGATGAACAGCCAGATGCACAGATACATGGAGCGATGTATGTGGGAAGGGTAGTGGGGCTTCCTTGCCCTCTCCAGGCAAGCTACTCTCCCAGAACCTCCACATGTTCACCAACCTGGAAGCCCTCTGAACTCCATAATATTGGGATTTTTACGGAGGCTTCATCACATAGGCATGATCACTTATCAACTCCATTTCTAGCCCCTCTTCCCTCTTTGGAGAATGGGGGGTGGGGCTGAATATTCCAAGCTTCTCATTGCAGCTTGGTCTTTTTGGTGACCAACCAGGAGCCAATCAGGAGCTGCCTCATTAGAACAAAAGACATTGCTATCACTCAGGAAATTCCAAGGGTTTTAAGGAGCTCTGTGCCAGGAACTGGGGGCAGAGACCTAAATATACATATTTCCCATTATTCACACCAAACATTTACATATTGAAGTGTTATTTTTTTATAAATGGCTTTTTATTTCTCCTGGATATTGCTGTTAGAGCATTGTTTTATTTGCTTGAAAATATACATGTGAGGTAGATTTTATCTATGAATTTCACTTGAGGATAGTAAAGAGGATGTTACAAATATAAGTTATAAAACAGTGGACGCTGATCTGATAAGGTGAAGAATCATTGTTCTTTTTTTTTTTTTTTAAAGATTTTATTTATTTATTTGAGACAGAGAGAATGAGAGAGAGCACATGAGAGGGGAGAGGGTCAGAGGGAGAAGCAGGCTCCCTGCCGAGCAGAGAGCCCGATGCGGGACTCGATCCAGGGACTCCAGGATCATGACCTGAGCCGAAGGCAGTCGCTTAACCAACTGAGCCACCCAGGCGCCCCAGGCATCCTGTCTTTAAGTGTTGGCCGGAATAAACCGTGAATTCTTTTGGGGGTCTTGTGCTTTC